AGGTACCTTCACTAAGCAAAAAAATCTGTTTCCCTTATGTATATTTGAGGAAAGTAAGTTTATTAAATCCATCCTATGATTTAATACTATCTCTACTTTCATTAGAAATAATCTTATTTTCATGTCCTATGTAGAACTTTTACTGTTCTCTTTGCAACTGAGATTTTAGGTAGGCAGTATCTTCTTCACAGTAGTATTCTATAGCACGGTAGTAGTGTTCTAGTTTGGAGTCAACCCTAGTTTATTTGACTTTTTTCCTTTAAATGAAACACTATAATTTACTCAGCAAGCTCTTTTTAAAAACAACTTTTAAAACTGTTTTTATGTATACTGTATCTCTAAAAACATGTGAATTTTATTCCATAATTTACCTATGAGTGTTGGGGGTAGATCACCTAAGTTTGATACTGGTGTTCTACCTTTAAAATGGTTGGGAAATTGTGGTACATGCTTGTACCCAGAGCCAGGCTACTACTTGGTGAATTCAAGAGCCACTGAGAGACTGTGTCAAAAGACAGGCAACCAGTGACTTCCATATACAGAGTTACCACCCACGATACATTCAAAACTCCTCTCTCTCTCTCTCTCTCTCTCTCTCTCTCTCTCTCTCTCTCTCTCTCTGTGTGTGTGTGTGTGATAGTTTTGAGACACAGAAGAATTGCCTACTGAAGGAAAGTTAGCTTCAGCTGTTTTCCATGCTTTGTTTTCATTTGTCCAGGTCTATTAATTCCTATTTTTTACTGTTATTGAAAAATAGATTATTCCTGATTTTGATTTCTCCTCCCTCTACTTCTCCCAGTTCCTCCTTACTTCCTTTCCCATTCAGATCCACTCCCTTTCTGTCTCTCATTGTAAAAGATTAGTCTTCCAAGGGATAATGACTAAACACAACAAAATAAAATAAAGCAAAAATTCTCACTTCAGAGTTGGACAAGACAGACAGAAGTGAAAGAGGCCAGGAGAAGGCACAAGAATCAGAGACCCACTCGTTTGGCCACTCAGGAATTTCACAAAAACGCTAAGCTGGAAACCATAATATAAGTGCAGAAGACCTGGTGTAGGCTGGTGGAGGCCTTGTGCATGCTGCTTAGTTCATATGAGCTTTGCTCTGTTCGTGTTGATTTTTTGTTTTCTTAGTGTATTCCTGCCCCTGTGGTTCTTACATTCTTCTTTCCCTTCTTCCATGGTGTTCCCTGAACTCTGGGGAAGGAATTTTATGGAAACATCCCTTTTCAGGATGAGTATTCCAAATCTTTCTCTCTTTCTGCTTAATGTCTGTCTGTGGGTCTCTGTATTTGTTTCTATCAACTGCAGGAGAAAGCATCTCTGATGATGACTGGATAAAGCACCGATCTAGGAGTATAGCAGAATATCAGTAGGGGTCATTTTATCTCTACATTTTTATTTTTTTTAAAGACTGGTAGTATTTGCTTTTACTCTAGGTCCCTGGGTTATCTAGTCTCTGATTCTTGGTCACCCAAGCAGTGTCAGGGGTGAGTTCCATCTTGTGGAGTGGACCTTATGTCAAATTAGTTATTATTTGGTTATTCTCATAAGCTTTATGCCACTATTGTTCTTGCATCCAGATGGACTAATTCCTTCTTTTTCTATTTTAACTTCTATTGGGTAAGGAGATCGTTCTTAAACTGTCATAAACAACCTAAAGCAAAATTGTCAGACAATTGCAGGCTTAAGAATAAATAATGCTTTAAGTATTAAAGTGAGGATAAATGATAGAACAGGTAGGAAAATATGGATTCAGTCATATTATCATCAGGAGATGCATAAAGTCCGTATTTATAACGCATTTACAACTTTTTCCTTTGGAATGTGTTAGCCTTTCCAAATAGTTTGATTTTTAAATATATATATTCATATCTGTGAATGGGTACATATATTGAAGCTATTTTTTGGCCTTATGGACTATAAATTCTCCATCTCAACTTTTCAGTTCTGTTGGAGAAAGAAAGAAGTACAGACAATGCATAAATGAAAGGGTATGCCTGCTTTCCAACATTAAATGAGAAAAGTCTAGAAATGAAATAACTTTATTGATATTTAAATATGAGTTATAATATTTATGTATCATAAGATACTTATTTTGTTTTTATCATCAATCTAAAAATGAGAAATTATTTTCATCTTGCTAGCCACAAAATTATTATAAGGGAACACTTAGTATCTCACAGTCACTCACTAAACCAGAAAATGTATCTTCATCTATGACAGTCACTATGAGGAAAGCTCAGCACTTTCCATGTGAGCACTATACTAAGCAAGAAACATGGTGGTGCATGGGAAAGAATGAGCGTAGGCAGACTCATGTCTGAGACTAATGAACTTACTGAGCAGTTTTAGTACAATATTTTCCAGCTTTTTCTATGAATTGAAATCAGACAGCGGTTTTTAATATACTTATTTCTAGATCACATGCTCAGGGTATCCACTGTGGTGTTTCAGATGTACCACAGGGGGTCAAGGCTTAGCTCACAAAAAGTTTAAAGATGTAGCATTTGGGGACACCAAGGACTAGACGAGAACTGCATTTAGCCTTTTTCTCTTTTCTTTTTAGAGTTTGATATTTCTTCCTCATTTATCTGACTTATCTCATTTTCTAGTTATAATTTCTCTTTCTCGTTTTCTTATGTATTCATTGCAGATTTAAAATAATTAAAAGAAGTTTTTTTTAAAAAAAAAAGCTTATATGCCTCAGAAGGAATATCCTGCATTCTCTGTGTGGTACTATGTTTTATACCTTGGTCGCAGTGTTAGTGGCTCTAATGCTGCCTTCTGGACATAATCATCTGACCATGTAGCGCAAGCTCAACATTATCAGTCTAGAAAGGGCGGGTGCTGGAAAATTATTTCCTAGATACCATTCCTGGGAGAGCATTTTGTAAACCCAGAAAGGCAAAGCAGTTTATAGTATCTGTCTTATCTTTGGGTCCTCTGTACAGAAATGCACATATCTCAAAAGGCATTGTCAATATTTGGGGGCATCACGGAATTAGAGATAACAACACGTAGGCTTTTCAAAGTATATTTCATAAACTAAGTTAGATAAAACTCTTCTAATCTAGAAAATGTGTCTTCCCATAACCTAACATAACTAAGCCCCACAGACCCTGCCAACTGGGTCTCCTTCTTTCCAGTTTCCCCTGACCCACGTGAGCCTGAACATTTGTTGCCAATGGTCTCTAATACATATTTAAATCTTGGCAACATCGAAAATGGAGCTTTCTTAATTTGCTTTCAAACTTCTCTAAATTTAATGTAGATGCTATCATAATCTTCCTACTTCAGTGGCAAAAGTCCATGAACTTTTATCCTATTTTAAATAGCATCTAAAACATTTGGCAGCTAAGCATTTAAAATTCTGTGCCTCTTTAGATTAGACCTTTTCTTGGTATAATCAAGCAAAAGGAAATATTTTTTGATACTCACAGTAAATGTCAGGGACAAATAGGAAAGTCTGTGTCATTTTTCAGCTAATGCTGTTGGCAACAATAATTTCTAGTAGCTGACTTAGGATCACAAGAAGTTTTTTCTTACTACAGCTGAACCTGTTAAATGTCATCATTCAGATTAACCAGCTGCTGCCAGAGAATCTACAGTAAACATAACTTTGCTTTCAGCCCTTTTGAAACCATCTTGGGAAATTTGGCAAAACCACTTGGGTGTTGGAAGGTCTTCAACACAGAGAAACACAAATATTCACATGAATTCTTTTGTACTTTCTTGACCTCTTTTTGAAAGATTCACAATTAGACATTTTTAAAGGTAATTCCCCCCTCCCCAAACATTATGGAGAGGTGCTTATATAGAATATTGTTCTGAGAATCGATCATCTGTGGACATGACACATCACTGGGTCAGTGTCTGAGATGAACGCACGTAGAAAAGTATGAATTGGTTAACTGTTGTCAAAATGCAGTGGTTCAGGGAAATTGTTCTAAAACTTAGAACTCTAAATTGCTTCAAACAATTGAAAGAGCAAATGTGTTATTTTGTCAGGATCAGCAAGCAGTGAGAAACTACCCTGAGCTATATCCATAGTACTGAAATTTGGAGTTACCTCTAGAGAGAGGAGGCTAAAGATGCCCCATGCTATGAAAAGGATGCTATATAGAAGGGTTTTCAAGATTCTTAGTCAGATGTCAATAACTAACTTGCACATATGCACAGGACTTAAGACACTAAACAATACACTCTGTAGCAAGAGGGAACAGTTAGTCAAAACCTGTACGTGAAGAGGGACTGAGGAGAGCAAGAAAAACAAGGTCTGTGCTTGTCAAGAAAGATCTGATGGGGAAGGCAGAACTTCTGTACTGAAAGGAGAGGAGGGTTCTCACGGACAAAGAATAAAAAAAGAGATGAGGATGGCAGAAGCATATGACTTAGATGCGCCTGTAATTTTGTCAGTTGAGAACTATGAATGACTTAGAGTACTGATAAAAACTAGGAAATAAAGTTGGAAAGGTAGGATGAAGCTCAGTTAAATGACATTGGTGATAGGGAAGTTCAGCCAATCACATTCTGTCCGTGGGGTGTATTGCCCTAAGGCAAAAATTTACCTATTTACCTATAAACCTGGCGGGTGTGCTTCCTCTCTCTCTCTCTCTCTCTCTCTCTCTCTCTCTCTCTCTCTCTCTCACTTGGCCCCTGCGTTCTTGGATGGACCGTTGGGACTCTGATGTAAGTTTTCCTTCTGTTTATTAAAGCTGTATTTTTATATTAAGCTAATCTGGTTGACCTTTAATTACCGATCGACCTCGCCCCTTCACATTGGAATTAGACAAGTTGGGATGTGGGCACAGGACCTAGTGAACTCCTACTGGTCTTTGAGGAAGGCACCACGAACACTACTGAGCAGCTCCAGTGTGATCGGCCCTAGTCAAAGTGGTGTGGTTTGCATTCCTCATCATTTTCCTCATCAACATTTCTGGACTGGCGTCTTTGGCTGCTGTCAAAGTTCAAATGTGCTTTATCCTTTTGTTTAGGAGAAGTACTGCTTCGCCAGATCTCATTGACCAGGAGGCAGGACAAGGAACACCGACAAACAGCTACAGCAATGGTGGAATCCCAGCCACCCAGAGGTCACCAGCCCCAAGTGCTCGTAGTGTGACCTCCATCTGCAGTAGAGTAAGTATACGACTGTGAGGAGACATCCAGTCTCCAGGACTTGCTTTACCACCACCCATGACTCAGTTTGAATTCTCCATATCTCAGAACATGTTGTTTATCCTTAGCTTTGGGCCAGGAATCTAAAGTGAGGACAAAAGGGCAAGACAGGTTTTAAAGGTGCTGTTATGTGACCGATCCTTAAATGGCTGTGCAATTTAAAGAAATAGGAATCTTTCACATTACTTCTCATAGGACATATTTATAAATTAGCTGTTTGATTCTCTACAGGAAAAGTAGAACCTTGGAGTGATTGTATAATTTCCTTTCTTTACATCTGTTAAAATGACAGGTCAAATACATAATAAAGGCTTAAATTGCTATTATATATAAATATGCTAAATGAGAAAATATTGTTTGTATCACATTATTTTCCTTTAAGGAAGAAAAGGCACAAAGCATTTAGGAGTAATACTTTCTTTTACCCACTATTCTATTGGAAGTCATTCTTGGAAAACATTACCATCTATAAACTTTGGGGGGGGGTTCAAGATAGGGCTTCTCTGTAGCTTTGGAGCCTGTCCTGGAACTAGCTCTGGTAGACCAGGCTGACCTCAAACTCACAGATATCCACCTGCCTCTGCCTCACAAAAAGTGCACACCACCACCGCCCAGTCTAGAACTTTTTATTAAGCAAGGAATCTCATATTTCTGGAATATATACTTAAGAAATCATTATATATGTAACTTAGAACTTTGATTCAGCCATAATTTAGCGAAGTGAAACCTCCTGAAAGACCTTGGACAAGCAAAGATTAAAATAAGTGAAAGAATCAGCCATGCAAATGTCTGGGCTGGCAAAGTATCCTCCAGACAGACCAAATCAATGTTAAACACATACAAAGAAGGCTGATTCATCTTTAATAATCAGTGCCCTGGCTCAAATAGTTTGTAAAATATCTGTACACTTCATGAGGAGCTGCCAGCACAAAGAATCAAAGGTGGGTATGCCCAATTTGCTAAAGGAAGACTGAAAAGGCCAGCGTGCTGCTATAGGGCTCATATAGCAGAGCAACATGGCTTAGCACTTGTTTAGGCAGGATCATGGGAGGGAGCTGTTGAGGAACAGCTGAGGGAAATAAGTGAAGCCTACAGACCCTTTCAGAAGTCTTTGCCATAATACAGCTATTAAAAGGGGCTTGGAAACAGGAAACAGGAAGGTAGCAGCAGGATGTGTAGTGAGCAGTCAGAGTGGTTCAGTATTTTGGAGGAAGAATCAACAGACATTCAGACAGACTGAATATCACTGATCTGTTTCAATATAGCCTAAATTGTACTTCCTTAGATAAAAGGCATCTTCTGAGTTTCATAAATATTTATGCTAAGCTCAGCAACTGGCTTCTGTTCAGCTGTCAGAAAAGTGCAGAGATTGTTGATGACTATATTTTCTTCTTCAGTAACCTAGCAAGGAGTGATACTGAATGTATTTAGGAGCTGGTCGTAAGGAGACACTGACCAATCAGAGTGGATACTTGTACAAGGCTCAGGAGTCTTACATGTCTTATAAAGAGAATTGTAAGCGAGGAAAGGCATGAGGAAAGGAGGGCGCCAGTGAAGACCATGATAATGTTTACCAGCTACTATGATAAACAAGCATTCAAAAAAGTAATCAACTGCTGTGCCTGTGCCAGTGGGTAGCAGCTGACTGCCAATAAGGTAATTCAGTTTGGTTGATCACAAAAGAAGGATTATCTTCCCAGGTATCGTTTGAAGGGAAAGAACAATTTTGTCCAAAGTTATTTCCTACAATGAAATTGGAAAGCTTTTCGATTCATATGCAGTGAGGGAGCGGAATTTGTTCTTTTCTTGTAACTGATCTAAGCACAGTTTCTCCTATAAATGAAAACCTTTTGACTATCTCTGTTTATGCTAGATATAAACTGCTAAGTTTAAGCTTCACCACCTGAAGTTCCAGACCAGTGGTTCTCAACCCTCCTAATGCTGCACCTCTTTAATACATTTCCTCATGTTGTGGTGACCTCCAACTGCAAAATTATTTTCCTTGCTACTTCATAGATGTAATTTTACTACTGTTATAAATTGTAATGTAAATATCTGTGTTTTCTGCTGGTCTTAAGTGACCTCCATGAAAGGGTCTTTCAACCCCAAAGGCTGAGAACCCTTGCTATAGACTATGTGTTACATGTTAAAGACTGTACAATGTTAACTGACCTATTAATGTTCAATATTAATGGTACCACCAGATCACCTGTGGGGAAATTTTCCGTCATCATAATTACCGGTGAGGAGCTTAGTCTTGCTTCGTTAGAGGACTTTTACATGCTAAGAATTTTGTGATGAGCTGTTAAAAACTTTTTAATTTTGTGATGAGCTGTTAAAAACTGACCTAAACTACTTCATCCATTTGACCTCTGATACAGTCTAGACAAACTTTGCTAGTCTATGATAACTAGAGGAATTAGAAGAAATATACTTTCTGCTATAGGTTTTACATGTTGGAAATAATGAAATACTGAATACAGTCTACTGGAGCTGAATTAATTAGCATGCTAAGCAAGTAAGAAGCAGATCTATCTGTGGAGACTTCATTAAAGTATTCCTGTAGGTCTAAGATGTCAGGTAAACAAGAGGGATTTCATCCTGTAGACGCTACTTAACTATTTATAATGAAAAGAATGGGAAAATGTCTCTTAGGTTTAACAGTTATCACACCATGGTTCCATCTTCCTTGACATTTAATCACAGCCTAGTTCTCAAGAGGAGTACAGGACTTTTTAAAATATTAAATAAGGCTCAGCATTAGGCGGGGCTGGTGCACACGTTTAATCCCAGAGCTTAGGATGGATCTCTGTGAGTTTGAGGCCAGACTTGTCTACAGAGCAAGTTCCAGGACAGGCAGGGCTGTTACACAGAGAAAACTTGTCTCAAAAAAAAACCCAAACAAACAAACAAAAAAGTTTAACTACATAGTATTTCCTAGACAAGACAGAGAAAATGTACCTATGAATTGTCAACAGTGTGACTGCTGAGGGGGTGAATCAATTTCCTCCAAGGTTGGGTTCTCACATAGGTTTTCCAATCTCAAGTGGCCAGCCTTGGTCACATATGTACATACAGGCAATGCTAAATGAACACAGTAAGTTACAAACACACACACACACACACACACACACACACTGTGTGTGTGTATGAACTATTATATATATGTATATATATATGTTTATACAAACTATTGTTTTTATATATTCTATGATGGCCTAATATTGACAGATTGACAATAATAATTAAAGGAGAGATTATTAATTTGAGAATGAATCAAGAAAGGAGTTGAGGTGTAGAGTGATGTAGATGGAAGTACTGGAAGTACTCAATAATTTTTTTTCACAAAAACAAGCTTACACTGACCCTATAAAAATCAGCAGAGCTGGGATAGTGTTTGGTTTTTGTCAGAGCATACAATGAAAACTAATCTCAGACTGTGTTCTGCCACATGTACAAACATTTATTTGTAGCTAGGCATCCCCTAAATCACCTATGGCTCTAAGATGAAGAAGTACCTGCTGTGTCCTGCAGGACTGTTGGGATCAGGTGCACTGGGCTCTCTGATGGAAAAGCTGCAACCCCATCCCAATCTCAACCTGTTTATTATATAACAGTCTAGTAGGGATGTGGGCTCGCTGCCACAGCTGAACAAGGATACAGCTTAACTGAACAAGGATACAGCTTACCTAATCTCAGTAGGATCATTCTGTGTAGGGGAGCTGTCTTCTGGCCATAAACATCCAAGGGAGAATAAAGTTATTGTGAATATTTTCTACACACACTATCAATATTATATAAATACCAGAAGAAGGCTTTGCCATTCCTCTGGGAATGAGACATCGGTCCTTGACATGGCTATTCTTATTTTGAATGGTACACATACACTCAGGACTTCACCCGCTCCCTACAATTCTCCATTCTTATAAACACTGATAAGCATCATGCATGACATTTTTATTTCAATACACATGTAACTATATTTTGATCACCCAGTCTTCTAGATGGAAACTATGACAGGGTCTTGGATAATTGTGGTCAGAGAAAGTATAGTTTATGTGAGTTGGCTTACTTGGTTTTCAATTATTGCCACAATGTTTGAGATACAACTTAAACAGAAAAGTTTGCTTTAGCTTAAAGTTTTTGGATTTACAGACCAGAAAAAATAAAGAGAAAAAATACCCTCCTTTGTGGCAAATAATAAAAAAGAACGTGTCAGAAGCAAACTGCTCATGTCATGGTTGCCAATTACCGAAAACCATGCACTTGGCACATATCTAAAAGGATTTTATTATCATCCTGTAACACCAACCTGAAGATCAAAGAACTCGTTGTTTGGGCCTTTGGTGTAACTTCCCTGATTAAAACTACAACAGAGTATTTGAGGAGAGGAGATGTTGACAGAGAGCAAATACAAAACCAAGCAGTTCTAAGGCTAAGGCTAAGTTCTAAGGCTCCTCCATGTAAGATTAGAAGTTACTATACAATCTTTCTTACTAATCTTTTATCACTAGTTCATGAGTGAAAAAAGTATTCAAATATGCTTTATGCAAAATTGAAACCTTCTTGAATTTCATTTTATATAGATTTCTAAGTATGGGCTTCTAATAAGGGTCCTTCAAATGTTATTTTATTATTTCATTCCCCCTCCCATAATACATATAAATATCTTCATACTAAAGTGTATTTATATGAAAGGGTTTTAAGAGAAAACAGTCAGTATAATGTTTCTGTTTTTCATTTTTTTCCTCTGTGGGAAGGACCACGGTGTTGAAAAGTCCATGGCTGTGGGTGCCAGGGAAAGCCCCTGTGAGGAGCTGAGAAAGAGTCACCGCAGAAACACATCTGGGCCGCCTTCCATCGCGGTGTCGGGTGCCTCCCTTTCCTCGGGTAGGTAGTCACGATATGAGCACTGTACTGTTAAAAAAAACTGAATCAAATCAAATTGCCTGCTTTATATGGTATTGAGTAGATGTTTTAGACTTGAGAAGACAATCATCCATTATAGTAATAGGCCGAAGCATAACCAGTTTCTAAGAGTGGTCCCAGGTGAGCCTTAGGTCCACTACACTAAAATAAAATCTACTTATTGAGTGTATAGCTTTGCTCTAAGTCATTGTTAGGGTTCAAAGCTATACAAGATTATCAATTTAGAAAGATAGAAAATACAAATAGTTCTAGAGTACATTTCTTATGACAGGTAATAACTCTCACCTAGGGATCAAAGAAATGAAAGTTCCATCAGTAGAGACTAGACATTCCATATACCCACACAAATTGTTTCATCCTTTAAAATGGAATTATTTGTAAGTAGCTTGGCATAGTGTGCTTTCTATTGCTGTGACAAACACCATGACCTAAGGCAACTTGGAGCAGAATGGGTTTATTTCCTTGTATAGCTTATAGTCTCTCATGAAGGGAAAGCAGGAACTAATGGCAGACTGTGGACAAATGTGGTTTACTGGCTTGCTCCTCACAGCTTTCTCAACCTGCTTCCATCTACACCCCAGGACCACCTGGTGTTCAGCGGTAGTGTTGGCAACACTGATCTGGTTTCTTCCATATTAATATCAATCAAGAAAATCCCTCACAGACTTACCTACAGGCCAATCTGAAAGAGGGAGAGAAGCATTTTCTCAACCGACCTTCCCTCTTCCCAGTAATAACAGTTAAAAAAAAGAAGCCGTGAGTCTAAAAGAGTTTGGGTGGGGTGTGTACACTGGATGGTTTGGAGGGACCTAAGGGAAGGCAAAATGATCTAATTATACTATAATCTCAAATATATATATTAAAAATAAATAAGTACAATATCATCTCTATAAGAGGAATTCCATGATACTTTAAAGAAAAAACTATCAAGCATGTATATTAAAGATATTAGTAAGAAATCTTTTCATTTATATAGATATTATTTATATTGCAGTTTAATACCTATGAGTAGGAAAATTCTTCAGAGAAATACATTGTTATTGTAATGTTTATGTCCCATATGCTGAACTCAATTCATAATTAAATCCTCAACATTAAACCATTAACTATTGCTCAAGGATACTATGTGCATGCTGCCTAAGGCTAGATTCTAGCTTGTAACTTGAACTGCAAAGGAGCCTTTCCTAGGCATCAGGCCCCTAAAGGGTTTGTGTGTGCATGCTTTGTGTGTTTGTGGGTGTACCCATGTACAGGTGTGGCACTGGGGACCGGAGGTCTCTAAAAATGCATGTTCTCAAAAATATGAAAGGGGGCCCAACAACAAGGTGAAGTGGGTAAAGGTATTTGCTGCCAACCCTGACATCCTTTGTTCAGTTCCCTGGGCCCACATGATGAAAGGAGAGAACCAACTCCTCAAAGCTGTCCTGTGATTTTCACTTTTGCGTCATGGCACACATGAATGTGCACATACATTAAATAAATGAATATATTTTTAAAAGAAAGATAGTAAAGTAGTTAATCATTCAATAAAAAAAAATGTAACGTATCCTAGACGCTAACGTCATGAAGTTACCTTCTACTGCACGTCTTCCACAACCCCTGATCATTTAGTGTGTACTCTACAGGCACTGTGCTAAACCCCTCCTCATCACTCCATTTGCCATTTCAAACTTAAGTATCTGATTGCTCTCTCCAGTCTGTCTCCTACATAAGCAACTATATTTGTCTCAGCAGGACTTTAGAGCAGAACTATTCTGTGGAAGTAAACTGCCCTGAATTGGTAAGGTGTCTACAGCATTGCTGAGAAGCACATCATTTTTTTCACTGTCAATTTAAAATCTGAAATAATGATGTTCTGTTGATGAAGGAATGTTCTAGTAGCTAATGAAATCAAAACTCTCAGTCTCTCTCTAGTCACTCCCTTTTGCATGAAAGGAAGTCACATCTTTTAAAAGTGGAAATTTATGATCGGTTGACTTCATTTTATGTCAAATGTGAAAACAGTGAATTCTCCTCAAAAATGTTAAGTTCTTTTCTTGTCAAGCTTAAGAACCCAATCTATGAGCATTTTTAGTATTTCAGAAGGAGTAAATCAGAATCTTTAAACAGCTTAAATCTACCCTTGGATCTTATAACAGAGCATTTAACTCCCTGTGATCAAAGGACAAATGAACACAGATGTGTTCATGTTCAAATTAAGGCAATTTCCAAAACACTATAAAAATGTAAGTATGTCAAATTAAAGTAACATGGAGTTTGTGGTCCCGAATGCTGTTTCTGCTGCATTATATTCTCTCTGTCTCTGTCTGTCTGTCTGTCTGTCTGTCTGTCTGTCTGTCTGTCTCTCTCTCTCTCTCTCTCTCTCTCTCTGTGTGTGTGTGTGTGTGTATACATATGTGTGTCTATATGTGTATATATATATGCATGCATAAACTGAAATATTGAAACACTTAAATGTTTGCAATAAAAATGCAGAGCCACAATGGAATAAGCTGGTTCACATCTGCATTTCATATTTATCCCTCCAGACCGGAGTCATTCTGAGTTAGATTTGAGTGAGTCATTTACAGAAGACTTAGAGGATTCTTCAAGCATAAGAAGCAGATCTGTCCCTGGGGCTTTAGACAAAGACTTGGTAAGTTGGATGTGGGAGAAAATTCAATAACACATGGAAAGGAAGATATGATCTTGCTTTAAGCATCTGCACTTTTAGGTGACAAGTTGAGGGTAGAAAGAAGACATAGAATATGTCTTCCTGGTAGTTTTCATGATCAAATATAAAAGAAACTAAAACACTGCAATTGAAAAAATAAAAACAGTACTGCAATTAAAATTGCAATATATATACATGTAATTTGAAATGATATAAAGCAACAGCAATGAATTAAAAATTATATGGTAAGAGAAAGTACATTGTGTTCGAAGTATGAGTGGGGTATTTAATATGTACATTAAATGAAGTAACATTGTATTCCAACTATATATTAAAGAACATATAAAACTGTGTTTTAAAAAGCCACAACCTTGTGGTAAAATTTTAGTTCTATCTATAAAACTGTACTTTAACAGTTTACACTTTAACTCTAATTTGACAGTTGCATGGCTGTGGCAGACTGAGAAGTCACTGACAGTGGCACCAGGATGTATTCTTACTGCATGTACTGTTTTTCGGGGAATCCATTTGAATGGATACCTTGCTCAGCCTAGATACAGTAGGTAGGGCCTTGGACCTTCCCCATCAATGTGCCTTACCTTCTCTGAGGAATGGATGGGGATGGGGTATAAGTGGAGGGAATGGGAGAATGGAACTTGGGTTGGTGTATATATAATGAAAAAGATAGTTTTGTTTTCTTTTTAAAAATAAAAAATGAAAAATTGATTGATGAAAGTCATTTAAATATGATTTCAAAATATTATATATCAAACAGTCACAGTATATGCCATTTTAAATGTTGATATTTTTAAGTCATCTACATTACAACTTAGAATACAACATGGATTTTCATATTAGTTAATAAGGCCCTGGGTTTTGGAAAATGCAATAAGATAAAATAGAAATGTTTTTTAAAAATTTTTAGAATGTTTTCATAGGGGCTCACAGTAAATTGGGCCCTTCCACATTAATCAGTCAAGAAAATGCCCCACAGACTTGCCTACAGGCCAATCTGATAGGGACATTTTCTCAACTGAGGTTCCCTCTTCCCAGATGGCCCTAACCAGAACAATGGGCATTAAAAAGGAAGCAACATACTAAAAATGGAATTGAGGAAGAGACTGTAGCTTGTCTGTCTTAGTAGCAATTTTGTGATTGTCTGGTAATGATTGGCTGAGGCTCATCTACAGTTATAATACTAGGTTACAGCTATTTACATATCAAGTTACTTTGTGGTGCGTTATGTATGGAAACACCCTTAGGCCAAACTTAAATTGTATATGGAAGCCTCTTCAGGTCAAACTTAAAATTTCCTATGGAAAAATTCAAGGTGTAGACAGCTTTACAAATGAATCCCATCAAATATTTGAACTTATTGCTGTTGTAGACACAGTATCACTCTGTAACCCAGACTAGACTGGTACTGTGTAGCCCAGGCTGGCCTTAAACTTGCATGCAGTCCTCTGACATTAGCTTCCCTAATAATGTGTTAAAGGTGTGAGCCACCAGGCTTGGTCCATTAAGTATTTGAAAAAGAAATCATGTGATTCACAAATTCAGTCAGAAAGGACATGAGGGAAGTATTTCCGTACGTAGTCCATTACTTCTCTGGTTAACAAAGCTCCATAGGCATCACAGGAAGAGAAAACAGCAGCTCAGAACACAGAACAAATACAAGTGCTAACATCTTTAATAAAGTGTCAATCAGCCCCAACCTCTTACAAAAAGAAAAAAAGAATCACATACTATAGCTAAGTGAGATTTACTCCATAGAAGCAAGGTTGATCAACCATTTAAAAAAATAAATGAATATAGCAGCTGGGAAGAGAGCTTAAAAGTTAAGAATACTTACTGCTCTTTAAAAGGACCTGAATACTTTTAATTAATTAATTTATTTTTTAAAAACTATCTGTTCTCATTTTACGTAACAGTTCCAGTTCCCACTCCCTCCCCTCCTCCTGCTCTCTCCACCTTCCCCCAACTCCACTCCCCATCCACTCCTCAGAGAGGGTAAGGCTTCTCATGGGGAGTCACCAAAGTCTTGTACATTGCTTTGATGCAGGACCAAGGTCCTTCCCACTAGATCTAGGCTGAGAAAAGTATTCTTCAAAAGAGAATGGATTCCAAAAATCCAGTATAAGCAGTAGAGATAAATCCTGGTCTCACTGCCAGTGACCCCTTAGTCTGTCCCAGCCACACAACTGTCAACCACATTCAGAGGGCCTAGTTTAGTCCTGTTCAGGTTCCCCTATTGTCAGTCTGGAGCCAGTGAGCTCCCACTAGCTTGGGTCAGCTGTTTCACGAGATGTGAACAGGATAGACCCATCATGGTCTATCAGTAAACAGCTGGAAACAAAGTTAAGAATGTAATCCTATCAATAACATAAAAATAGTTGAAAAAGTGGGAAATTAAGTGTATTTCTAAAAGTATAAGGCATACTTTGTGACTTACAAAGTTTTATTGTGGTAAATTAGAGACCTGAATAAATGGAGAGATAATTCATTTATAGATTAGAAAATTTTGTGTTTTTAAGAAGAAAATTCCTTCCAGATTAATCAAATTCAACTAAGATATTATGTAGAAATGAATGAGAATTTTGAAATTCATATGAACATACTAGGAGCCCAGAACAAAATTTTAACAAAGTTGGAAGACTTGCACAAGTAGATTTTAAATAGCTTCATTTATGAAGTTACTGGTACAAGTATAGGCAATACATGGACAGAGCACCATAATTGTAGTGCATGATGTACTTAAGAAAAATTGAATTTCATCAAGATTAAAAGTATTTGTACTACTATAAACACTGTTACAAAAATGAAAACAGACCTAAATATTTCGGAATCATATACTTGTTAAGAATTCTATCTTGAACATATATATGGATACCCTACATTCAATAGTAAAAAGACAAATAGTCACCTTCGTGGGTGAAAGACTTTAAGACTGAATAGCTGTTACTATGAATTCTTTATGTTAATCTTTCTACTTTTATAAATGCATGAACACACTTTTGAACACATCCCATATCATCTGGATGCTTAGAAGTTTTCGTAATCGTCTACTTTTAAAAGAAAGTAAAGAGACAAGGATGAACCCAGCTAAGACCCTAAGCAATAGAGGAGAGGTTGCCTGAACTGGCCCTGTAGTCAGACTGATGAATATCTTAAATATCACCATAGAACCTTCGTCCAACAACTGATGGAGGCAGAGACTCACAATGAAGAACTGGGCTGAGCTCCCAAAGTCCAGTTGAAGAGTATAAGGAATGAGAATATGAGCAAAGAGGTCAAGACCATGAGGGGTTCATCCACTGAAACAGTTTACCTGAGCTAATGGGAGCTCATCAACTCCAGCTGGACTGGGAAGGAACAAGCATAGGACCAAACTAGTCCCTCTGAATGTGGTTGACAGTTGTATGGCTGGGGAAGACTGGCAGTGGCACTGGGATTTATCCTTACTGCTTGTACTGGCTTTTGGGGAACCCATTCTCGTTGAATGGATACCTTGCTCAGCCTAGATATAGTAGGGAGGGCCTTGGACCTTCCACAAAGCAGTATTCCTTACCCTCTCTAAAGAGTGATTGGGGTGTGGTAGGGGTATGTGGAGGGGATGGGAGGAGGGGAGAGAGTGGAAATTTGGATTGGTATATATAATGAAAATAGACAGTTTGTTTTCTTTTAAAAATAAATAAATAAATAAAATAAAAAGTAAAGAGACATGATGACTAGAACTTTGTGTTGTAACCACTTTACAATTGTACACTCAAAAATAGGAAATGTAGTAAATACAGAAAAGGCACTAGTTGATGCAGCAGTAAGGATATTTTGCCATACTTTAAAGAAATGTCTAGTTTGAAAGTATCCAAGATTATAAATAAATAATAATTCACACCCAGAAATATTAAATTCTTAAAACTTACAGGAGAAATATTATTTAATATAAATAAAGATCAAATTAGTATCAGTTTTCTATGGTAACACTGAGTACAAGATGAAAGCAGTAATATTTTTAAAGTATTTTAAGAAAACTATTTTAGACTCAAAACTTTAAAAACCTATAAATATAGCATGACCTCCAAGACATACCCAACAGAAGCCCACATTGAAAGCAGTTTAGGTTCAAATATACTTATGAAAAGAAGAAATCTTAGAACTATTGAAAAGGTTTTAAAAGCAAATGTCATTATATAAATTGGCCAAGTTATACTAAAAAAAGCTAAGATGAAAGAAGCAGAAAATAAAGGATACATATTAAACAAGTCTTTTAATTCTGTTTAAAAAATACCAATCAAGGTCACTACAGCAGTTATATTAAAACATCAAAAACAAAAAAATGGAACTCATGAATTACAAAAAACAAAAACATTCATGAATTTTTATGTTAAAAATACATTGCTAAAAATTATTCAGTTAAGGAAGAAATCATAACAGAGATAGGGTAGAAAGAGACTGGAGAAAGAGGGTGAGTATGTGTGAGAGAGAGGTGTGTGTGGCAGCAGGGTGGGGTGCAATTCTGAACTAAAAATATCTTGTGTATTGTCCAATACACAAGCCTTAAAGACCAGGAAGGTGGGAATTAAACCCAGGTCTGAAGAATTCCAAATTTCATGTTCTTTCCTTCAAGAAAGTGATGCTAGAAAAGAGACCCTATAATGCCCAGCCCCTGTCTACTCCTTTGATTTTATAATTAAGATTAACTGAAAGTGCAAAAACCTAAACCTGTTTTTCTTTGATTTTCCAACTGTTTGTGAAATAAACCTTTATTTCATTTAAAAGAAATCCTCCTATGGTAGAAATAATCTAAACTATTGACTTTTACATCCTTTCTAGAACTCCTTAGAAGATGCTGAAGATGATGCCAATGACTTCGTGTCCTCTGGGTTTTCTGCAAATCCCCACAGTCTGGCAACAGGCCTTTCAATGGTAAGCATTCTCACAGAAACTTTCTTTCTCTTGTTCATTCCCCGTGCATTTTCAAAAGGTGGGAAGGTTTGATCATATGTCCTAAGCTGTCACAGGTTCCTGTTCGCCCCATGCCCTTACACCACCTTACACTCTATTTTGATTCCTGAATCCTTCCTTCTTCTGCCATGATTGTCATCCAGCTTTTGAACTCTCTTCATTCCCATTTTATAAAGTACTAGATAAAGAAGAGTTTGAAGACTCACAACACAAAAAATTAAATGGTGAAGGAGTCAGAAAGACTAATTGCCATGATATGATCATTGACAGGTGCAGGAGTCATGTGATGCTCCTATAACCATATGCAATTGTTTTGTAAATATCTGCAGAAATTCTTAAATTTCTTTATTTTCCAATTTAGGCCCAGTCATCTGAAGTCTATAAATTATTCCAGTTCTCTGTTGATAAGGTCTTCTCATATCATTCTCACAATTTCCCAACTGTTCTCTGCACTACTGCCAGACATTTTCCTACGAAACATCCCTACTTTCCTTTCTTTCCTACTCAAAAGAACTGTCTAGAGTTTTCCAATGTCTTCAAGGAAAATTCTGCTCTTACCTTGAGTTGAAGATCCCCTTTGAGAACCTTTAGCAACCAACATGCTATTGTATCTACCAGTCTGTGTACCTATGCATTTCTTTGCTTCTCTGATTTCAATGCTCTAATACCCTTTTTCTTTTGGTCATTGGATGGCATCCTTAAAGAACTCCCAAGCAGGATCTGATAGGAAGAGGAGCTACCTAAATGTGCCTGATGCTGATTCAGACACCGTGAGTCTTCACCCTTGCTGTTTCCCCCTTCCCAACCATACTTCAGAAGTTCCATGTTTTGAGAAATATGATTGGATGAGCAGTTTCACCTGTTTTCTGAGTGGTACACAGCCAGATACTCCTTTCAGGAGGGATTCATGAGCTGACACATCTCAAGAATTCTAGTTCATTAAATGTTAGAATCTGCGTACCAGTCAAAAGACATGTCCCAAAATGGTTTATTGGTAACACAAGTATCTCTATTTTAAGCACAGCCATGTTTTGATAAAGAAAAGTGGTTTATTAGCAGTAAAATTGTTGTAATTAATTTAAATCCTCCTAAGTCTCAATTTTGTGACTGCTTAAATTTTATTTTACTCATAGGGATTCTTCATCCTTGTCTGATCATATAGTTACAGGAGGCTGTGTTGAAAGTATAGGTCAGTTATATAAGGAGGTGTTGAGTTGTAGTCCATAGGGCTTTTGACTAGAAACCCAGAACTTTCCTCTGTGTCACCCTGCACCACCTCGAACTGTGGTCAGGAAAGGGTCTGGAGATTAAAGAATACACAGAGACATGGGTCTTGAAGCAACAATGCCAATTTTATTATGTTCCAAAGCAGCTTATATAGTGCTCTCCTTGACTAGTGGCCACGTCCTAACTCTCAGGATTTTCTAATGCAAGCCTACCAGAAACCATTTCCTTGTCATCAGGAACTCATGAGGGTTTTGTGCTCAGAGCAGCTGCAAGCATAGAAAAGATAGTTGTTTACTTCCAGCAGGCAGAAGTCATAGAAAGTTCAGGATCTGAGGGTATGCAGCTCCCAACATTCCTCTGTGACTTAGTATTACTAACAAATTTGTGAACCGGTTTCATCATGTGCAGTAGAGTTGAGGTTAATTCATGAAGCTCTTAAGGATTGAATCATGGTCCATATATCAACACTATTGTATAACAACGGACCCCCAAACTTTCCCAATTTATGCAGCCCCTAGGATCTCAATAATTCTCTAATGTAACTCCTAAGTGAGAAGTAAGGACTAGTTTCCCAAAAACTTAAGAACAGAATTTTTAAAATTTACCTGAATTATTCTTTTTTTCAAATAGTCATTAAGTTCTGAACTTAAGTTGTTCCATTACTTACTAACAGCATGTGTGTACTTGCTGAGTACTATATAGTTTTTCAGATCTTAGAATCTCATTAGATACCACCATGTTCAACTGAAATTAATGTTTCTGCTTTTTTTGCCTTCATTTTGTTTGAGAAACTCAACACCCTTCTGCCTTTATCTCGCAAATTCTGAGATGATGGGCATGCACCACCATACCTGCATTCTATATAGATTTTGATGATTTTTTTAGATTGAAGAAACTGTCAAAAATTCATCATATCACAAACAGTAATTCATTGTAAAAATAAAGTATGATCTTAATAATGACACTGCGACCTGCGAGTTAGTGTTTTGCCAACTCTATGCTGTCTGATGATGTGTGCTGCTCTAGCTGTGTTTCCCTCTTAAATCTCTCTTGCTACTTCTTGAGTTCACAGTGGTACTCTGGGGTACAAGCACACATTATTTAGGTCCTAAGATCTAGTTGTCTGTAGAAAAACTAAAATGTCAGACTCTAATCCAGACTTAATCTTCATTCTAAAATGACCCTCAGTATATTTTTATGTAGTTAGCATTTTAAATTCTACTGCATTATTTTAAGAATAAGAAAGACAAATTCTGTTACTTATTGATTCCCTTGAAGAAATCGCTTGTGTGGGTTGTGATAGCTCACACTTGTAAGATTTGCTGGAGGAGGCACAGGCAGGAAGATCATGTGTTCAAGACCAGCCTGGGCTACACATTAAAAAAAAAAAGAAATAGCTTGTATGCAATTTTAGAATTCTTGGTTCATTCTTGCCTTTGACTTCTGTTTAAAAGAGATTATGAACTAAGACAGATAATCCTGTTTCTTGAAAAAAATACATCCTGTTTGAAACACAATAACCTTTTAAAAACAGTAACAATAAAATCCAATCATGGACATGTACAGACACATAGATAAACAGATAGAAATATAGATACATCCATGTATCCACACATGATATATGATGGATAGAAATTCTATATATAATATATATATAAATCCATGTATATGAATGAATGACAATTCTAAGTTCTTTGTACTTCTGTAGTCTTTGCTTCTTAGTGGTGAATAAGAGGTTATGAAACTACTGCATCATTCATGAATGTCACTGGGCTTTTGTTTCTATCGTGTTACTAAGATACAGAATCTTTGTTTCTGGTACTTAATAATAATGCTACATTGATTTAAAATATGTATATTATGTTATGAATGTTTTGACAGAATTTTTATTCACCCTTATAGAATTTTTTGTTTTTTTTTATTAAATGAGGTCTTTAATTTCTTGGTGCTATATTTAGGCCATTTAGTATTCCATGAAATTTCAAAGTCATGATTCTTAAACAACCTATGTATCCACACAGCTCCTAAGCTGGGGAACTGACACCTGTGAGTATAGGATGTCTATCCATACCTTTGTTAAGGCTGTAGCTGTGGTTCCCTGAGTACGATGACACAAACCTTGAGAGTGCAAATAAGGACACTAAGATATTTGTTAACTCATAATGTAGAGTGAACTTTTCTTTCTTCTAATTATTATAGTCTAGATATGTAAATATATTGCATTTGAGCCTATCAGCAAGAAAGTAAACAGTGACCGGGATGGAGAAGCAAGATTGTATTAGAAATCTCCAAATGACTCCGTATTCCTTAGAAGACATGAATAAAGGATTTTAGCTAACCTAAAGGAGATGCTTCCTCTCTCAGCAAACTTCCTGCCTCCCTTACTGATGGAGCTAAGTAGGTATTCTTTTCAGGTTAGAATTTTATGCCGCACCAGCAAAACAAGCAACGGTAGTAACTTGCTTCCTTCCCTCACCTTTGACTCCCTTGCTAGTTACATAGAACACCAACTGAAATTGACTAAAGGGGGCAGAGTTTGTGCATAGAGCCTGAGAATAGTACTGGCTGACTTTCTTCATCTTGTTTATTCCAGACCAGCCTTAACAGCATGATGAGTGTTTACAGTGAGACGGGAGACTACGGCAACGTGAAGGTAACTGGGGAAATTCTCCTCCACATCAGTTACTGCTACAAAACTGGCGGCCTCTACATTTTTGTCAAGAATTGCAGAAACCTGGCCATAGGCGATGAAAAGAGACAGAGGACAGATGCGTAAGTACATGGGATGCTCCACGGCTGTCTCTAGTACTCTCTTCTCTGTCTTCACTTTTCCATGTCACGCATGTGTCCTCTTCAGAAGAAGTTAAGGATTACCTTCAGTTAAGAACCTTCTCAGAGTCAGGAGGTGGCAGTGCATGCCTTTAATTCCAAACAACAAGGCCACCCTGGTCTACAGAGCAATTCCAGGACAGCCATAACTGTTATACAGCAAAACTCTGTCTTGGCAACCAACCAAGAAAACAAGTAGGATTTGCATCGGGAGGCAGAAGCAGGTGAACCTCTGTGAGTTTAAGATCAGCCTGGGCTACAAAGTGAGTTCCAGGACAGCTAGGGTTGTTACACAGAGAAACTCTGTCTCAAAAAACAAAAAGGAAAAGAAAAGAAAAACAAAGAAAGCTACTTTTCATTTCCTTCATATACTGTAGTTCTAAATAGTCTCTGGAGTATGAGTGTAAATATGCTATCCTTGGTTATCTGATTTGAAAGAGGCCTTTAAATGATTCAGGGCTAACAGAGGCCACTTGTGGAGGAAGGAAACTGACATATTGGCACACAGCATGATGTCTAAGAGTGGTGTGCTGATTGTTTAAAATATTTTTCATGCAGTATATTGTGATCATATTCTTTTCCCTCTAAACCCCCTCAGATTCCCCCTACCAACTTTATGTTCTTTCTCTCTCTTAGAACAAATCAAAAACATGTATGTGCACACATGTGTGCATATGCGCATGCACAACACACACACACACAAAAACCAAAAACACGAAGTCCAATTTGTGTTTGTCAACTACTCCTGAGCATGAGGCCTGCCTTGGAGTACACTTGATTATACCCAGTCTTACGCCACTGAAGAAATCCATTTTCTCTCTCCCAGCACCTCTCAATCATAAATAGCTTCTCAGAGGGGGGTGTGAATTGTTGCTCATTTTATACGCTCTAAATTTTAGATGGCTAAATGACAAACATAATTATTTTTGGTTGCATAGAAAGGAATCATCTAAAACCCCAGCGGATATGTTTCAGAACTCTAGTATAATATGTTTCAATCTTGTTCTTGCCTCTGTCTTTTCTAATGTCTCTGTCTTAAGACACCTCTAAAACGGCTAGCCAACACAAGCCAAGGGGTGGCATTGAAATTCTGTCAAGTTGCCACTTTCCATTGCTTCCATTACATTGCTTTCTTTCATTCATTCATTCCAATTGACCCTATGCCCTGACATCAGAAGATAGGGCTAGTAAGAGAGAGACACATATCTCAGAAAAGGTTGTAGGATCATTGATGTTAGCAGATTCCATTTGTGCAATAGTACAATATGGCAGCTCCTCATATATGTTTCATGAGTTAGGTATTGTTGCTATTCCACTTACTACATTTGAGGAAACAGATGTAAAAAAGTTAAAAACCCAATGCTATCAAAAGCAGTGATGCATGAGTAGTTCTCAATCAATATAAAACAATGTTTCTTTCTTATAGCAAGCCCAGAATTATATTTATGACATCCTGTCAGACAGACTGAAGTCTCTTCATTCTACATCTTTTATCCACTTACCCACTCCCTTTACTCACTGAAGTCCTGGAATATTTTTAGTAAAGTATATGTTTGTAAATAATGATTTTTTTTACCCTTTGCTATTTACAGTTATGTCAAGTCATACCTTCTTCCAGACAAGTCCCGAAACAATAAGCGCAAGACCAAAATCAGAACAGGCACCAATCCAGAATTTAACGAAACATTGAAGGTAAATAAATACCAATATAGGGACTCATGTCATATTAACTAGAACCTCTTTGATTTATAATAATCTACAGGTCAGAAGGTTGTGGCAGTGTTATTGTTAAAAGTTCCAGGCTAGTCTGAGATAGCACAGTGACATTCAAACAAGCTTGGCCTACAAAATAAGACTAGCCCCTGTTTCAAAAATACAAAGATACCAAAAAGGAATGAAAAAATAACTAAATGGAGCATTTGTGAATTCCAAAGTTTATATGTGTTTTGGAAAGCTTGAATTTGAATGTTATTAACTTTCTGGAAGTTTATGGAAAAGAAAGAAATCCAGTAAACTATCTTTGCTCTGGTCATTCTCCACTGTTGCTGGAGTTGTGCCTTAAGTCAAGATTAGCCAGGAAAATTACAAATTAAATCTAGGCTAGGATATCTTGTCACAAAATAAATTGCTCCTTTGAGAAATCAGCTTTCTTGGACATTGTCTGAAATGAACTTTGTCACTAATTCAGCAAATCACTTTGTACATATTTATTGCTTTGTGCTGTTTCTTATTAGGACCTCTGAGTTTGGATAAATATAGGTGTGTGGTTAATGAGCACTAGCAATGCAAGGTCAGGTTTGAGAAGTCTCAGAAAATGTCTAGATAAAACATGAGCCAGACCTTGGGTTCTAAGTTCTAAAGAAATTTCTATTTCTAGTGGGTAGTCATAAACAACCCCTTCTTTCACTCTGGATTCACATGGCCTGGTAAGAAAGACAGAGGAAAGATAAAATAAATTAATAATATTAATAATCATAGGAAAATGTTTCAACTTGTACCCAGAGTAATGGATTCAGAGTTTATCACATTGATTGGTAGTAATGGAAGAAAATCACAAGTAGTCCACATGTGTTAGTAGAGGTATGTGTGGAAGCAGGGGTCAATATTAAGATAGGCCAAATGAAAAATTAACAAATGTAGGCTGACTGTGAATCCAGTGGTCATAATAGGGTAGAAAGATGAGCTCAAGCAGAACACATAAACACAGTGACAGATAAATTCAGGGCTTAGAGAACTAAAGTTAATCATCATGGTAGTAGCTGGGACAGGGATCCATGCAAATCCAAGCTCAGAAATCAGTCAGTCTAAGCGTGACCCAGATGGATATACAGAACAACAGAAGATTAGAGAATATGTGGTCATGTGGCCATGCTGAATATTCTGCTGGAAAATATTATGCTGCAAACCCCATAGTATTTATTTTCTGCTAAACCTGTGTGTAGTTTTTAAGTTCTACTGGAATTTATGAAGTTTAGGCTACAATTTCACATGTCAATACTTTTCTGTATTAGAAGATTTTTATTATGAATTAGTAAGTTGGAGTATGGTTATATTAAACCTAGAGCTACAAAGTAGACATGACAAAAATAAACAGGGAAATGACAAAAAAAGTAAAATTGGAAAGAGCATTCCTCTTCACTTAATACTTTCAATACTGTCCCTGAAGTTTGTTGACCCATATAATAATTTATATTTATATATATATATACATATATATGTGTGTGTATGTGTGTGTATGTATACATGTATATGTGTATGTGTGTATGTATGTATGTATGTATGCATATTTCTTAACTAGGTAAAACCTAAAATGTGTTTTAATGCATATCTTCAATTGTAGCACAAGTATCAGGGTTTTTTTTCATATTGCTGATGCCTATGGTCTGAAAATTGGTGAAGTAAATTTTAGTCTTCTCTACAATTAGATCAAATCCTCCCTGCAGAGTGTGATTCTTTACATCTCATTTGTAGTATACCATCAGCCACACCCAGCTGGAAACAAGAACTCTGCAGCTCTCAGTCTGGCACTATGATCGCTTTGGACGCAACAGTTTTCTTGGAGAGGTGGAGATAGCTTTTGATTCATGGAACTTTGAAAACCCATGTGATGAGTGGTTTGTGCTTCAGCCCAAGGTAGGAAATACTTTCAGATTAATCCACCAGCTACACAATTAGACAAGCCTGAGCAAATGCAATAGCTTAGGCCTGAAAACGCTGAAGACTTCTATTTTCAAGTAATAACCAAGAAATGTTATTATAATTTTAATAGATATTATAAATCCATTATTTTAGAAGCTCTTCATAGATACATGTTGTATAATATAAGAAACCATGTAATCATTCATGAAAAACTTTTATTACTGAAATCCATTTGTCATTTGAAGATCTTCACGGATTACTAAAGACCATACTACATGATCCTATTATAACAAGAAAACCTTTGTTTTTATGCCATCAAAAACACATCCACAGAGTATGACCAGTTCCAAAACATTATCTCTCTTTCTCATTCTCTACAATCCACAGCATAGGCAGGAATGGTCTCCTTGGCTCACACGATAAAGCAACTACTAGCCAAAATGTTTTTACTTTAGGGGTTTATAAAATGGCTATGTAATCTAGCATGTTCAATCCTAGAACAACAAAGCTTTGAATTCATTATAGCCAACTAAATTTCTTGACATTTACTGTCAGTTTCTAAGTAAGAAAGAGAATGAAAAGGTTACATTTATGCTGCCAGAGATTATTCTTTATATGTAGTAGCAAAAGATAGTGAACTGAAATTAGCATTGGTTCCCTCATGGCTTCAAAATGCCTATGTGATCTTGAGCAAATTACTTTCTAAACCTTGATATTCTAATTTGTAACATAATTATTAGTATGGTATCTGTTGCTACAACTCTGAGACCTGAAATATCTGAAGTTCCTGTCCCTCTTAGAGAACTGGTATTATGTTTGAATAAGCATTTTCTATAAGCCTGTCAGCATTCTGTTAGGCACATTGTAAACTGTCAATAAAAGCTTGGTAGTATTTGCACTGATTAGTTCCTTGATCCAGATTGGCAAATCTTAACTTGACCTTGGAGTCTCAGCTTTCTATTCTTTGGTTTCAATTTCAGGATACACACATTGTTGACCTCTCTTCCTAGCTCCATGAATGATAAACCTGTGCATTATTAGATTTAAGTGGGTGATCTTTCCATACTCTGCATTATACTGTTCAGAAAAGAAAATGTTTTTTTATCTTCCAATAGTCAAAACAATGTCTTTGGCCTGCCTGGTTCCTTTAACTCTAATTATATTTAGCCTTCTGATCATAAGATAATAACTTGCCAGTGAGGTAAGATGTAGTGGTTGGAATAAAAATATTGAAAACTCAGTCTGGTCATAATTGTAGGGTAGCCACAAAAAAAATCAGACCCAAAAGATACAACTAATTTGAAAGTTGATGTGGGAGGCCTCTATGTGTGCTGTGATTATCATTAATAAAGAAACTGTTTTGGACCTATAGTCGGGCGGAACTTAGGCAGGCAGGGAAAACTGAACTGAATGCTGGGAGAAGGAAGAGCTGAGTCAGGGGACAGCATGGAGCCACCGCCAGAGATAGACATGCTGAAAATTTGCTGGTAGGCCACGACCTCGTGGTAATACACAGATTAATAGAAATGGCTTAAATTAACATGTAAGAGTTAGCCAATAAGAAGCTAGAGCTAATTGGCCAAGCAGTGATTTAATTAATACAGTTCCTGTATGATTATTTGGGGGCTAAGCAGTCGGGCACAACAAGCAGCTCTCTCCTCCTACAGAAAGTAAGCAATATTAGAGAGAAAGACCAAGTGATGTTACCCATAGCATTATCAGTGGCAACATCACTGGTACTTAATAGCCACAACCCCATGAGGTAAGTAATATTCTCCCCATCTTATAGATAAAGAAGTTGAGACTTAGAAATTAAATTTGACTTGCTCGTGGAGTTTGTAAACTACTGCCCTTGAAGTTAGTGTGAATAACTCATAAAAATTTTAGGATATATATATGCCCTGCATGAAATAAAGTTTTAAAATTCTTAAGTGCCCTTGTTAATAGCTAGCAATACAGCTTCTTGTTCAGCTTAGGCATCAAGATTTCTTACTGTTCACAACTGTGTTTTACAGTAATGGATATGTGAGAAGCTTAGGTCTAAAAGACAATTCTATGGAACATTTCTAGTGAATAGTACCAGCAGTTTCCTTTCTCTTTCTCTTAAAGATCTCTTATCCTTAAATTGCAACTCTACACATTTTCTACTTCTTTCATTACTCATTGTCTTGTATTTGTACTCTCACAAATAAAATAGTCAACTATTTTTATTGTTGTGTTCATTGCTCAATATTGTCACACTTTCACTGTTGCTGCTGCCATCCCTTTTAAACAAGTCATGTAAGTGCTCATACACAAATGAAGGACTGTGTTTGAACCAATCACAGCATTCTCCATTTTGCCACTGATAGAACCAAGTACCTTATGCAAATTAAGGTTTATATTTGAACCAATCACAGCACAATAAGTCTACTATGCAAATGAAGGACTGTGTTTGAACCAATCACAGCATTCTCCATTTTGTCACTGATAGAACCAAGTACCTTATGCAAATTAAGGTTTATATTTGAACCAATCACAGCACAATAAGTCTACTATGCAAATGAAGAACTGTGTTTGGACCAATCTCAAGAGTGGTACGTTTTATACCAGTTACTATAAACCTCTTATATAAATGAAGTTTTATTTTTGAACCAACCACAGCCATTGTTTTTATATAGGTCATAATAGCCCTACTATGCAAATTAAGGTTTGTGTTTGGACCAATCACAGCATTGTCCCTTTTGTCACTGACAGAAGTATTTTGTGCAAATTAAAGTTTGTACTTGTACCAATCACAGCACTTACTTTTATATATGCCACAATAATCCTGATATGCAAATGAAGCACTGTGTGTCAACTTATCACAAACGTGGTTAGTTTTGTACCAGTTCCAACAAGCCTATCATACAAATAAAGTCTTGTTTTTGAACCAATCACAGCCATTACTTTTATACTTGTCACAATGGCCCTACTATACAAATTTGGACCAATCACAAGAGTAAAATGTTTCATACCAGTTACAACAAAATTGTCATGCAAATGAAGGCTTATTTTTGAACCATCACTTTTATACAAGTCACCTAAGTCCTCCTATGCAAAGAAGGACTGCATTTGGACCAATCACAACATTCTCCATTTTGTAACTGACTGAAAGTTAAAAGTTTATGGAAATTAAGGTTTGTGGTTGGACCATTCACAGTACATTTATACCAATCAAAAAAAGCATCCTGTGCAAATAAGTGGTTGTGGTTTGGACCAAGCACAAGAGTATGAGATTATTTTTTGCCATATACAATAAGTATCTTATGCAAATGAAGATTTATATTTTCACCAATTACAGCACTGTTTCTTTTGTAGTAGTCTTTTTTAGACCAATTATAGCACAATTTTGATGCAAATGAAGATTTTTATTAAACCCAATCACAACACTGTCACTTTTTTATTAGATTGTTTTGCACCAATCATTGCAAATGAGGCTGTGTTTGAACCAATCATATCAATGACTACTTTACCAATAATAACAACCTTCCTATGTAAATAAAGGACTGTGTTTGCACCAATCATAGCATTATTTAGTTTTACAGCTGACATAATCATCTCATGCAAATGAAGATTTAAACTAAGTACAGCATCGTTAGTTTTGAATAGATTATTGAATTGCCTGTTTTGTACCATTTACATAAACTTCTTATGCAAATGAAGATTTGTACTTGTATCAATCACAATAACTTCCCTTTTGTGCCTATCACAAAATTCCCTTATGCAAATGTTTTAGTACCAATTCCTGTTCCTTTTTTTAGCTAATCATAGCACATCCTTTTTGCAAATAAAGGTTTGTATTTGTACAAATCATGGCATTTTCTTTTTATTATCACCCACACCACAAGTCCCTGTTATAAGCATACAAGAGATGTACTCTTCCTCTAACAACCTATAAAGACTTACTCTAAGCTCACCTAGAATTTACCAAGTCTTGTGATATTAAAGATTCCAAAACAGACTGAATGTACAGCCCAAAATCTGAGCACTGTAAGACTAAAGCAACTGGCTCATACTGTATGGACACAGCAGCTACCTTGTTACCCACTTCCTTTTATGCTGCCTGCACAAGACCCTGTGCATACATCTAGTCCTGGCAGAGAGGGTGAGCTTTAAGTACTTGTCTCCATCAGAGGCAACAGAGTTTCTTATCAAATGTAATATGACTGGCACTACCACATTTCTACAAAGTTAGGAGACTTGAAAACTTTTCCTCTCCCTCTGCTCTGCATAGATTTTATTCAGATTGCACGTTAGAAGGAACTGAGAGATGGCTGTCAACAATATTATAACAGTTGATGGTTCAGTCCATATTCTACCAGGAGATAAGCTGTATGTGAAAGATTCAAACTTCTTTTAAGCATATGTCTACTTACAAAAAGACTGAAGAAATCATGAAAGAAGGTAAGGTTCTTTACCAAATGATGATCCACAATGTCCATCTTCACAATATCCACGTGACTCCTCTATCAAAGAATAAGTAAGTGTAGAAGGAGCGACAGTGGGCTGCGCTCCCGCTGCCCAGCTAGCTTTACCTGAAATAATTACACAGAAACTGAATTCATTTAAACACTGCCTGGCCCATTGTCTTCAACCCGTTATTAGCTAACTCTCACATCTTGATTAACCCATATCTAATAGTCAGTATGTCACCACGAGGTCTTGGCTTACCGGCATGAGTCTAGCCAGCATCCATCTCGGGAAGGGGAATCATGGCGGCTGCCTCATTGCCTACTTCCCAGCATTCTGTTCTGTCTCCTCCACCCACCTATGTTCTGACCTATAGGGCCAAGCAGTTTCTTTATTAATTAACCAATGAAAGCAACAAAAAGAAGTAAGACCAACCTACATCATTTCCCCTTTTCCTGTTTAAACAAAAAAGAAAGGCTTTCACTTTAACATAGTAATATTACATATAACAAAACAGTTATAAAGCAAGAATTATAGTTACAATATCTATATCTATTTTATCT